AAATTGAGATTCTCGTGATATGTGAGGTTCACAGTGCCATGCACATCTCATAAGAGCCAGACAGATATTTTAATCCCAGTCTGCAGACTTTCTGTGAAGAATACCTGCAGTGATAGATTCTCCTTATACACTGGGCCACACCAATCTCTGGTGAAAATAATGCTCAAGAAATGAGAAAATTGAAATGGGACATCTCCTTTTGAAGGAAAAGTAGTGTATGGCAAACAGAGTGAGGAATACGGATGACGCATATATTTCATTCATGTTTAGAGGCATTTAAAGATAATGACTTTGGAGACATTAATGCCACAAATAAATCAGCGTATTGTGCCCTCTAGTAAGTGGGTGACATTGGCAAGGCCAAGTTATGGCCAAGTTTTTATGGGCTTAGCATCCTTGCTACTACTCATTTACTTAATTTATGTCCTAAGGATCAGATGCGTTATGACTTTAAATACACTAGCTAAGCAAGTAATTGCCACTCCTCAACACAGGACTAGGTCCTTGCCCATCATATACACGGCATTTGCTGGGGGATACTACAGTTTTGTGCTAACTGAAATTTTGCACCTACCCCCACATTCACTAACAAAACTGTAGTATCCTCAGTAAATGCCATGTATTTGATGAGCAAAGACATAATGGAAGTAGCTTTTTAAATATTTTTTCCAAACCAAGTATACATCATTTGAGCTCTCACTTTGAACACCAGGAAATAATATAAACTAGCTATGAAAAAAAAATACATTTTTCTCATAAATGTAGTCACATTAGTATCCTTGTCACAATTCCCTAAATCATTGAGGCACTAATATGTTAGCAAAATCTTTCATATTCTAATCTTCAAAAAGGAATATATGATACAAAAAATTTTAATGTTATTATGCAAAATTATCTGTGTTTCTAATAATTTGTATTTGGAGAGCTAATAAAGATGGACAATTGATAAAATCGCTTTCTGTAAGAATATTATTTCTCTTCCTAGAGATGGCAAAGCAAATTATTGTTATTATGACAACTATAACCTCTGAACAAAATATTTTTAAAAAACATGTATTTAGAGGTCTAGAAAAACAAACAAAACAAATAGAAATTGGATGGATGTTGGAGCAAATTTATCTTTTGATACAGAAAACATACTGATAAAATTAACATTCATATGGGTTTTTACTGTGAATGGTGGCTGGTGGAAACTGAGCTTTCCAGGAAAAAATGAAGAGCACTAAAAATGGTGAGTATATGGATAAATAAACACTTTTTTTTATTTTAATGATATTTTAAAATCAGTTTAAAAATAGAAAATAAAATGGTCATTTCATTCCTTAAGCAAAATTAACACTATATCATGGGATTCACAATACTTGTAGAAGTAAAATATATGATAAATATAAAGGGGATGAGCACCCATAGCTCAGTGGTTAGAGCACTGGCCACATATACTGGGACTGGCAGATTCAAACCCGGCCCCGACCAGCTAAACCTCAATGAAAACTACAATAAAAAATATATATATCTGGTCATTCTGGGAGGGAGCTGTAGCCCCAGCTACTTGGAAGGCTGTAGCAAGAGAATCTCTTATGCCCAAGAGTTTGAGGTTGCTGTGAGCTGTGATGCTATAGCACTCAACTGAGGGTGACAAAAATGAGACTCTGTCTCAAAAAAAAAAATAGCATAAAGGATGTCGTAAATGTCTTTCATTATATATATGCTACATTAATGAAAGGTAAGTGGTGATAAATTAAGGATGATTATTATAATCCCTACAGAAAAAAAATTAACTGTATGCTATGCATGAGAGACAAACCTTAAATATAGAGACACAGACCTATTTAAAAACAAAAGAAGAAAAATGAAGCACTGAACAACAGTGAATATAAAAATGCTGTGAATACAGGCAGTGCCTGTGGCTCAGTGGGTCAGGCACTGGCCCCATATACCGAGGGTAGTGTATTCAAACACGGCCTGGGCAAAACTGCAACAAAAAAATACCAGGCATTCTGGTGGGTGCCTTGTAGCCCCAGCTACTTGGGAGGCTGAGGCAAGAGAATAGCCTAAGCCCAGGAGTTTGAGGTTGCTGTGAGCTGTGACACCACAGCACTCTACCAAAGGTGATAAAGTGAGACTCTGTCTCTTTTTAAAAAAAAAAAAAAAAAAGCTGTGAATATTACCGAAAATAAAGGGAAAATTCATGATGTTAAAGGTTCATCAAGTACATATAATGATTGTAAATGTATATGCAGAATGTAAAATATAAAAAAAAACTTGATGAGAAAGGAGAAATAATTACACAATTTTAGCTAGAGGTTTTATCACCTCCTTCTCAAAAATTAGTAGAAAAATTAGACAAAGATTTGACGAACGTTATTGACTTAATCAACATTGTAGAGCAATACATTCAATAACTTCATAATTTAATTTAAACATGCACCTGCCATGTTCAGTAAGGTAGGCCATATGCTGAACTGCAAGGCCCCCAGTTACTGATACACTTATTAGCAGTGATCATTAGCAGAAATGCCAGCAAATTTTAATGATAAGTTTCTGAATTTCTCTTAATGCTGTTTCCTAAACTTTGCTGGTAATGTTCTGAACTTCTCTAACATCTAGACAAATATACAAGTGACATGTATAAATAAGAAAGTGAAATTTTTAATGTAAATACCTCTATAGTTTTCATCTAAGATACCTGAAATCTCTTTTTTATGTTTTTTTTTTCCTCTACCCTATTTAGAACAGTGGGTAAAATAAACTCAATATTCATGAAGCTTATGAGTTTGTATTTGGTCCAGACAGATATTTGCTTTTGCTAATCATGCTACCATGCGATAAAGAGAAAAAACATATAAGCAATTCCTAAGAATAAGACAAGGTGAAATAATGGCATGCGAATAAAAAGTAATTGCACATTAATGAGAAATGGGTAAGTTACAGAAACAGTACCTAGAAAAGGTATATATTCTGTTTTTACCACTGACTGAGTCTGGCAAATTTCATTTAAAGAATTTTCTGTTCCAATTTTTCATATGAAAAGTTAATCAACATCCTTCAATGAAATATATAAAGTATGAAAAGCTGAGGATCAAATTCTTAGAAAATTTATTAAAAACTCTTATTATGAATTAGACCATTCCAGTCATTTCCTGATGCTATTCATTTTTTCCACAATAGGTTTGCCTTAAAAAATATGTATTCACCATGTGTTGAGACTATTTAAGTTTGTCAGGTAGCAAGCAAATAAAAAGAAATTACTTACCTAATGACTCAGGGTTTTTCTTTATAAAATTGCTCATAAAATTTCTACAGCTTTGTACACATCATAAAAAAAATATATAAACTTGAGGAAATTAAGCCAACTAAATCACATGGGGAAAAAACAATTCAGGCAAAAGAGAATGAAACTGGCAGATGGGTAGACTTAAAGACTCAGAGGAGAAAACTATGGTGAGAGTGAAAATAGCATAATATGCCTCATGAGACTAACAATTCTTATGGCCATTCAACCAGAAAGGGGGGGGGGGGTTTAAAAGATAAACAAGAAGAGAAGACAAATATCCAAGTGTTATAAACACAAGAAATGGGAAATGTATTTAATAATGCATAATGGAGAGTGACAGTAGGAAAGCAGTGGAACAGGAGGTCCCTTGCTTGTATTCCCCCAGAGCAACAAGAATTTGGCAACAATTCATGAACAAAATTTCCTTTGTGGGAGCTTTAAGACCAGTATATGGTTAAAAAATACTGGTGGAGCCCAAGACCAAGGAATACCGTTTTGAGAGAACAGACAGGTGTCCAGGTGGCAGACTTACCAACTATATCCCTGGAACCAACCCTAGAAATAGCCTTGTAACTTTGTGAGCTCCATGACAATTTTATTTGGCATTGATCTTGTCAGTAGACCCATCAGTAAAGGGACATAAGAAGAGTCACACCCACCCATACCTTGAGTAACTGGCTAAAAACCTCAGTCCTGAATGTGGATTCTTCAGTAGCCCTGTGACTCAGTTCTAGCCCCTCTCTATTGCTGTGGGCCGAGAGCGGTCCTTTTTAAAATTATTATTATTATTATTATTATTTGTAGAGTCTCACTGTATCGCCTTCAGTAGAGTGCCATGGCCTTATACCACTCACAGCAACCTCCAACTCCTGGGCTTAGGTGATTCTTTTGCCTGAGCCTCCCAAGTAGCTGGGACTACAGGCACCTGCCACCACACCTAGCTATTTTTGTTGTTGTTGTTGTTGCAGTTTGACTGGGGCTGGATTTGAACCTGCCACCCTTGGCATATAGGGCTAGTGCCCTACTCACTGAGCCACAGGCACTGCCCAAGAGCAGTCCTTTTAATGAGCCCTGCCAGGAGAAATACATGTTTGTGTTCCTAGAAGCAGGCATGCCAATCTTGGTCCCAAAGGAAATCCTGAAATGGCCCTGTACCTCAGTTTCAGCCCTTTACAGCCACATTCTGAGGGCAGTTCTGTTTGTCAGGGACCAATTAGAAAACATGCCAAATCTTGTCCCCAGAGAGAAGCCCTTTGATTTTAAACTCACTGTGGATCATGAAGTACTCTGCAATCTGACTTCATTCTCTCCCAGATGTATTCCATGGGAAGTCCTCCCCACACTCAGGAACATGGTAGTAAGCCTATTTGTCTGCATACCCAGAAGCAAACCTGAAGATCTTGGTCTTGGTTGTAGACCCTGAAGCCATGCTATGACTCAGTTGTGGGCCCTTCTTAGATGTAACCCAATGTGAGTCCTGCCCACCTAGGTATCCACCTAGTGAAGAGCAGGATCTCTCAACTAGAAGAAGCCACTCCTATTTATGCAAAATTGCAGGCTCCACTCAATACCCATCAGTAGTCACATGACTAAGCTCCAACCATACTTGACTATGATTCTGGAGGTGGTTCCATAAGTATGAGAACCCAATAGGAGAAAGTCTCAACCTGTTAAAACTGTCTGTTTTACTCTTTAAACCTTGTTTGCTCTTTAAAATACACAGACAGTGCTTGTTTCAGTAGCACATATACTAAAATTGGAATGATATAGAGAAAAGTAGCATGTCTCCTGCACTAGGATGACATGCAAATTCTTAAAGCATTCCATATTTTTCTTCCAGACTTTAGGCTATACTATACGTCCACAGCAATCAAATCAGCATGATATTGGCACAAAATTAAAGACATAGACATTAGGAACTGAATAGAAAACAAAAAGATGAAACAGTCTCTTATAGCCATCTAATCTTTGATAAACCAAATGAAAGTAAACACTAGAGAAAAGAATCCTTATTCAATTAATGGTGCTGGGAGAATTGGGTAACCACATGTAAAAGACTGAAACTAGACCCACACTTTTCACCACTTACAAAAATAGGTTTAAGATAGATAAAAGATTTAAATCTAAGACATGAAATAATAAAAATACTAGAAGAAAGTGTGGGAAAAACTCTTGAGGATGTCGGCCAAGGAAAAGATTTTATGAAGATTTCCATGGCAATTGTAAAAACAAGAGTAAACAAATGGAACTTAATTAAACTGAAAATCTTCTGCACAGCCAAGGACACAACAAATAAAGCAAATAGACAACATTCAAAATGGGAAAAGGTATTTGCATGTTATGAATCTGACAAAAGTTTGATAACTAGAATCTATACAGAACTCAAATTAATCAACAAAAAAAGCAAACAATCCCATCTATCACTGAGCAAGAGACATGAACAGAAACTTCTCTGAGGAAGACAGACAAATGGCTTACAAACATGAAAAAATGCTCATCATCTCTAATTACAAGAGAAACAAAAATCAAAGCCATCCTGAGATATTACCTAATTGCAGTCAGATTAGTCCACATCACAAAGTCTCCAAGCTGCAGATGTTGGCATGGATGTGAAAAGAGGGCACTTTTACACTGTTGATGGGACTGCAAACTAATATAGCCTCTTTGGATAAAAGTATGGAGAATCCTCAAAGAACTTAAAGACCTCCCATTTGATCCTGTAATCCCACTACTGGGCATCTACACAAAAGAAAAAAAAATCGTGTTATCATAAAGACATTTGCACTAGATTGTTTATCTCAGCTTAATTTACAAACTCCAAGATATAAAAAAAAACCTAAATGCCCATCAATTCAGCAATGGATTAAAACACTATGGTATATGTATACCCTGGAACAGTATTCAGCCATAAAAAAGATGGTGACTTTACATCTTTTGTATTAACCTGGATGGAATTGAAACACATTCTTCTTCTTCTTCTTCTTCTTCTTCTT